TATTAAGTTCCTAATCTGGGAAGCGGACTCTTTATTTAACGATGGAATTTTAAATAATGCCTTCACATGATTATGAACCAATAGTCGCGGATTATTAAATCTATTCTCTAATAGCTCCCATGCGTGAGAATAGTTGTTAGCCGTAAATTCTAATGCACCTATGACGTGTGCCGCGGTACCTGACAATGACGATTTTAAATAATGAAATTTTTGAACAGGACCTAAATCATCGCGATCATGAATCATACTAACGTAAGAATTTTTAAACTCTAGCCAGCAATCGTATGAACCGGCAAAGGAAGGTATTTTAATATCGGGTAACTTTATGCCTATCGGCTTACATGTTGAAACACTAGACTTGTCAGCTACTTCCTTTCTCAATAAAAGTTTTGCAGAAGCTACAGCACAATAAAATTGATTTTCGAAACGATCTCTCTCTTCCAGCTGTTTTACAAGATCGAGATCTTCCGCTACCTCTTCTTCAATTTTAGTCTGTATTTCACTATACATCTCTATCAAACTCGAAGTACTCTCGACACGTAAATTTAATTCTAATGACTGTTGTTCAGTCAAGGGTAAAGTGAACTTTTTAACATAATTTTCAAACAGAGTTAATCGACCTTTTAAAACTCCTCTTTTCTTAATTAAATCTGACAATTTGGGCTCACTCATTTTGGGATTTAAGGAAATCAAGAGTACTTACAGTTGCCAATTTGTATATGCGTGCGAACCAAGGTGGGTGCCGTTGCGCAGGTAGGTACCGCCACTTGAGCACTGGAAATGGAATATCAGCACGAAATCAACACCTATCGAAGGATGAGATGGGGAAACGGACGGGAAGTTCAAACCTGCCACTCCTGTCTGTCGATGCCTTAACGTTGCAGCTCTTCGCTCGATACGTGAATCTCCTCTTCGTATTTTGATGCGACGAATCTTCGAAGATTCCAAGCTTGAACTCCTTATTCGGCTCGATAGGACCACTTTATGTACAGGAACGGGAGGCAGGTGCTCTTCAATGAATTGATTTATTGAACGTTTGTTGGTTATATTTAAGTCGTCTTATTGCTAACAGTGTGTATCAGGTAATAATCAAAATTTAAAACAGACAGATCTTATAACTAATTGCACGACGTGCTGTGATTGGTTGCTAACAATGACGAGCTCTGATTCGTAGCTAAAAGTTTGGTGTTCCGGTGCGTCGCTAGGCGGCGTTAGAAGTCGCGCCAACAGTAATTATGAACTGATGGCGAGCCGCCAGAAGTATAGGTAATTATTAACTGATGGCGGGCTGCCAGAAGTATATGTAATTAAAGACAATAAATAATTGATAATAATGTATTAAAATTGAAAAAGAATTTATTAATTTGAAGCGTGGCACTACATAGCGCTTACAATCTTTTTTATATTTGGCTCAAATTTACTTGTAGCAACACGTAAAACTGCTTCCAAACTTTCATTTGCAAGGCAGTTTCGATTTTTTGTTTTATTATTATGTAGTATTGAAAAGGTTTATTCACATATATAGGTAGAACCAAATAAGCTGGCACATTTCAGAGCATTTATGCGCAACTCTTTGTACGTATTTTTATCAATGCAGCGGTAAAAGTTCAGCGAGTCTCCTTCGTTGAATTTGTTGCCTAAATCTTGGTCGTTTTGAATGTCGATAATTTCTAACTGCATTGACTCTGGCACATTTTCAACTGAAATCGTGAAAGTATTGCTGAATATGTCCAACAGAGGTTTCACGTTTTTAAACTCCGAAAATCTGTCTTGAAAAGATGGAATCAAAATATCTAGCTTTTCTACATAACTGAAATTAATCGATGTTTTGTTGAATTTTTCAGCCATTTTCTTATAATTCGGAAAATGATTGTAATTTCCAGAATTCAATTGCGATCCGAAAAGTGTCAGCTTGCATTGAAAGGATGATACATGAGCGTAGAGCTGGGATATCAGTTAATTTTTGCCTTGAAGCCGTGTGTTCAAGACATTCAAATGATTTGTACTATCAACTAAAAAAGCCAAATCACACAACCAATCAGGATTTTTAAGTTCCGAGACATCCCTTTGCTTTTCCGCCAGAAATATTCCAATTTCTTCTATTAAATTTAGAAATCGTTCCAGTGTCAATGCACGACTTAGCCACCTTAGTTCTGTATAATACAGTAAATCTCCATATTAGCTTTCGATGTCATCAAGGAATTGTTTGAATTGCCTGTAATTGAGTCCTCGTGATTTTATGAAATTTACAGTTGAAACTACCACTTTCATGACATTTTGAAATTCAGTTTTTTTTAGAACAGAGGGCTTCTTGGTGTATAATGCAGTGAAACTGCGTGAGATCTTCAGCGTTTATGTTTTTTTTTCTTGCAGATGCTTTTTCAGCAAAGTAACTAGCCCAGAATTGACACCAATCATCGAAGGAGCACCGTCAGTCGCAACTCCCGATAATTTTGATAAGTCCAAATCAGTTTTCAAAAACTCATCCAAAAGTACATTGAGTATATCAACTCCTCTGGTTTGACCTTTCAATGAACACATTCCTAATAACTCTTCTAAGACTTCAAAATCTTGAGTAACACCTCGTATGAATATCAGAAGTTGAGCTGTGGAACTAATATCAGTGGATTCGTCGAGTGCTAATGAAAAAAATTCAATGATCTTAGTTTTTTCATTTAATTGTTCCGCAATATTACCTGACAAAGACATAATTCGTCTTTGGATAGTCATACGATTCACTTGAATTTTCTCAAACTTTTTTTGCTGCTTCTGGACACATTTTCTTAGCGGCAATTTCTATGTATTCTTTTACAAAATCCCCATCATTGAAGGAGCGACTTCGCTTTGCTATCATTCAAGAAATTTCATAACTAATTTCTGTAGCTGTTTCTGAATCTTGAATGGGTTTTGTAAACATAGCTTGCTGACCAATAAGCTCCCGTTTTAAAGACAACATTTTTTTGCTTTCTTAATTCACCTGTAAACTTGGTAAAAATAGGATGCTGCGTTTCATAGTGCCTTTTTACATTATATTCCTTTGCAATCGCAACAGAATTCTTGCAAATTAAACAAACGACTTTGTTATGCGACAATACAAAAAAGAAACTTCCGATTTTCATCTTTAACCCTACGTTTTTACTAGGTCCTGGCTTGTCCATGTTGCGTTCTAATCCTGGCTAGGATTAACACAGCACCTAAAACATTTACAGTACCTACTTATCTTAATGGTAATACCCATCCTTTTTTAAATTACCAAAAATAATTAATTAAATAGGTAGGGAAACACTTATTAATAGCAGAGTTTTACTTACGATTTTACAACACAATTATAACCTACATGGCACTTGACGGGAAATCTACGTTGAATGTGGATCAAAATATATGACACCGGCTAGTCGAGTTAAAATCTACACTAGAACTATTGACACTTCACTCAAATTAAAACTGAACTGTCGGTCGCTGCGGTTAGCGTGGCTTTTGTACCGCGTGTATAGACTATAGAGTCGAAAACTGTCTGGAAAAATCACGAAACCGACTCTGGAAGCTTCGTGTATCTACCTACGCGAGCAATCGGGAATTCGGAACTATTGCTATCTCGCTTGCTCTAATAATTTAACCCGTGGATAAGCCGCCACCGCGCTGCCGTCGTCGCCGCGCCGCCAGCCGCGGCGGTTCCTCAAGAAAACGAATTTAACAGAGATCAGCACGAACATTACCGACCGCTGTTACCGGCGCACCGATAAGCGCACTTAAGAGCGCGCGCGAGATTCAAATTACTTTTCGAACATATTTTGTTGGTTTTATTCTGGAATATAATTCAATATTTTTCGAATGTACGAGAGTATTATTTTTGCTGTCGGCGGGCCACCAGTATTCGATCGGCGGGCCGCGGTCTGTGCATCTATGTTGTAAAGAATTATAAGTGCATGTATGTTGTAAAAAATTATGTGTAGGCCTACATAGTTGTTATCATACTTAATTTTACTAATTATATGATAGTAGTTATTAAAAATAATACAATAATGCGTATAAACACCTGCCAGCACCATGACCATAGATATACCATGACAAACAATTTTGCGGTTTAATGGTGTTGTATAGTAACTATGTACTTACACTTTTAATATGTTTGATGTATCATTAAATAAATAAAAAAATATTAATATTTTGCAGACGTATTTTCTTTTGTCTTTTGGTTTTGAAGTAAAACTTCTTTACGCACACTTGACTTGGGGAGAAGCTGGCGAACGCATGATGAAAGCGTTATGAAAAGTGTCGTCGGGCGAGGCGAACGGGTGTTGAGTGGGGGATATAAGCAAGAGACAGCAGTGCGCGCGCACATTTCTTTCTCTCTTTCTCTCATAGAGATTTTTCGTAACTTTATTTTGTTCTGAATTGGTTTAATACTCAGTTTTTGAAAAATTTTATGAATTAAGATTTTGTTCATTACATTAAATATTATAGAAGAAAATTGTAAAACATTTTAAAGTTCATGTTTTGTGAATTTTCGGGTGAATAATAACAAATTATGGAAGGAAGATGATAATAAATTTAGATATATGCATATATAAATACACACACACACACACACACATATATATATATATATATATATATATATATGTAAATATGTATATACAGATGGAGCTTAAGAAGTATAAAGTCACACTCGTTTTTTTAAATTTACATTTTTAAATTTTGAAAATAGAATAAAAAGAGGTTTCAGTCTGTACATAAACTTTTTATGGAAACTAAAAAGATTTTAAACTATAAAGTCGTAAATAATTTAGGACTAAGGTATCAATTAAATTAGATTCTGTTGATGTGTTAATTTCCCTACGAACGATCTTCTTTCGGCCGCTGTTTACGATAATATTGCTTTGCTGACCATATTAGCAAATGCTCAAGACTTCTGTAAAACTTATGTAGTTATTAATGCTGTTTTATACATTTATACACCAGTACTAACTAGGATTTTATATTACTTTTTTATTTTACAGGTAGTATGGCATTTCTCTGTCAACCTCTTGGCAGCATATTTTCGGGCCCGTTATTAGATTACTTCGGGCGGAGAAAGGCTTTGTTCTTAGTGAACATACCACACATTTTCGCATGGCTACTGATGTACTACGCATGGGATGTGACATCGCTGTTCATGGGCAATGCTCTTCTGGGTATTGGCATAGGAATAATGGAATCACCTTCTGTTACATACGTCGGAGAAGTAACGTAAGTATACCTAAGATACTTTTAAGTGTTTTTTTTATTCATATGGTATCGTAGTATCTTCTTAACAAATACTAAATATAAAAGTTTATCAAAGTGTGACCGTAGAAACGCAGAAAACACACACACACACACACACGCACGCACGCACACACGCACACACGCACACACACACGCACACACACACACACGCACGCACACACGCACGCACACACACACACACACACACACACACGCACACACGCACGACGCGCACACGCACGCACGCACGCACGCACGCACACGCACGCACGCACACACACACGCACACGCACGCACACACGCACACACGCACGCACGCACACACACACGCACACACGCACACACGCACACTCACACACACACACACACGCACACGCACACACACACGCACACACACACGCACAGACGCACAGACGCACGACGCACAGACGCACAGACGCACAGACGCACACACGCACAGACGCACACGCACACGCACAGACGCACGCACGCACGCACGCACCACACACGCACACGCACACGCACACGCACGCACGCACACACACACGCACACACACACGCACGCACGCACGCACACACACACACACACACACGCACACACACACACACAACACACACACACACACACGCACGAGCGCCCGCGCACACATGCACGCACGCACGTACGCATGCACGTATGCACGCACGCACTCACTCACGCACGCTCACACGCACGCACGTGCGCACACACGCACGCACGCGGTCGCGCACGTAGGCACGCTCGCACTAATGATATTACAATAATAACAAGAAACAAATTTACCATTTGAGTGCTAAGTTAATAGTTTTACGAGTAGTTCTTCGCTTAATTATACATTACAACCTATTAGGTCGTGGAAAAAGTTTCTTCGTATTTTGTTTGCATAAAATTAAAGAAAAATCTCTTTCGTTGTATTCTTTGTGTCTGGCTGGATTTTATATCCATACATTAAGAAACAGAAAAATTAAAAGTATATATCTTGAGGGAGCAGAGAAGAACGTAAAGAACATATTACTTAATGTAAAGGAAAAAAAAGGAAGATCATGGTCGTATCGCTGTTATTATACTATCGTAGCATCGCCTGTGTATGTTCCGTGATGCAAGCCCAGTGTCAATTAAACAAACGCGGTTACTATTGTGAAACCTGTGAAACCCATAAGTTTGTCGTCGCGCCACAAGCGAAACACACCGAAGCTAAATCGCGCTATCAAAATTCGGCGGGAGATTTCCCCTTTTCTTTCACGGCCACAAGTCTAAGAATTATTTGGCGGAAATATATCGGCTGAATTTAAGTAGATTTCACAGTGACCTTTTAACGGTATATTTTAAATTATACAACGAAAGTAGGAGATTCCGCAGTTCGACTACGTTTTTGCTGTAAGATGTCAGATGAAGGTTCCTTAAACTTTCATTGATTGGAGCGGAGCTCCCATGGCGCAAGAAGACGATTCTTTGAAATCTATCTCCTCCGGAACCCGTAGGCTTGTAAACAATAAAAAAAAATCTAATTCAGATAATTAGATTTTTTTTTACTATGTAATCAATTCGCTAACTTATTGGGAGGTCCAAAAATTTGTGATTTTTATTTCCTTTACTATCCTTATAATATATTAAGAAGAAACGGCCGGTATCTATGAACAAAAAGGAGTGGTCTTTCATCATGATAACGCCAGACCAAACTCATCTTTGGCTACTCTGAAAAAATTGCGAGAGTGAATGGGTTGGGAAGTATTAATGTTTAATGCATCCACCATATAGTCCTGATTTCGCACCCTCAGATTTTTACCTTTTTAGTCTCTTCAGAATTCTTTGCGTAGTGTTAGGTTAACATCAATAGAGGACTGTCAAAACTACTTGTCGCATTTTTTTTGGTCAATAATTCCAAGATTTCTACAGCAACGGGATAATGTCATTACCTACAAAATGCTAACAAGTTATCGAACAGAATGGCACATATATATTATAATTAAACGTTATTAAACTTTGAAAAAATAAAATGTCTTGAATTTGTATATAAAATACGAGGAAACTTTCTCCCCAACCTATTAGAAAGAATTAGGAATGATAATAAAATCATAATTATTTTATTTTATTACACATTACCAAAAAATGCCTTCTTTTATAAAATTATGATGACAAACGAGCACACACTCCACTTGATGGTAAGTGAATGCTGTGGCCCATAGACATCTATATCTACATCAAATAATCGTTGATCGCAGGAAAGCTAGTTGAAAGAAGTGAGACTTAATAATATTAAAAATATCAAAAAAACTAATTATAAATGTCAAAAGCCAATTTGCTTTCGAAGCGTGGCAATTATGGCAAAAAACCTCCCTATAAAGCAATCAATGGAGATGTTTAGCTGTGGACATTAGATTGGCTGTAATGAAGTTATAAATAAATAATTGTATGAAAGAAAGAAAAAAAGATATGTGCGTGTCATGAAATTGAATATGGCTGCAGCGTCACTTAGTGTTCTATCTTACTTTGTTAGCTCGATGTAACAATCAGTTATTTTCTGTAATTCTGATTATATTTTAACACTTAACCAATTACGTTCTATCGTTTCAGAGATCCTTCCATTCGTGGATTCCTTACTACCCTGACCAATAGTTTTACATCTGCTGGCATGTTTGTTACGTACTTACTAGGCACGGTACTGCCATGGAGACAGGCGGCACTTGTGTCTCTCACTATACCTGTAGCAACTATGGCCCTGGTACTGTTGGTAGGTAAATAAGAATATTAATAATAATAATGTCCTCTAGACCGAATTACGGCCACGGCGGCCTGCCTCAACGGAGGCTAGCCATCGGCGCAAGACAGGATTATAGTGCCCAAGTGTATGCCCAAGCATAGGTGCACTCTCTATTCCCTCACTCTGATAATCCGATTGGACGGTAAACCGACACGACCGGAGAGAGATCAGGCGCAGGACCAACGGCTTTACGTACTTTCCGAGGCACGTGGGTGAGACACCGCCAAGTTCCTGACTCCGGGCAACTACTGAGAATTTCTTGACGGAAAAATATAATAATTAATTTTTTGACCCGACCCGAGATTCGAACCCAGGACCTCATGATCAGCAGTCGCTCTACTACAACCACTAGACCAACGAGGCAGTCTAAATATGTTTAGTGCAACAAAATAACATTTTAAAATAATGTTTTGCTTATTTGGAGTTACTAGAAGGCCAAGTGAAACAACTCTTAAAAAATTGAATTGTTTGCATTATAAATGAAAAGTAATTTCTTTTAACTGGCTCGATACAAGCTCACTTGTAGTCTTAATCCAATCACATGTAATTGCTCTGTTATTCATATATAGTCATAGAGCAACACGAACCATATACATACATATACATAAACACTCACGCCTGTCACCCAGAGGGGTAGGCAAAGACTACAGACTTCCATTTGGCACGATCCTGACATACCTCTCTCGCCTCCTTCACATCCATATACCTACGCATACATGCTCGTCGGATAAGGGAACTCCTAATTTGGACCGTTTTAAATAAATCGCCAATTTGGTCGATAAATTTTCGCCTAGGACGTCCCTTTCCGACTCTGCCATTCACTTCTGCAACATAAATTTTCTTTGTCACTCTTTCCTCATTCATTCTTTCCACATGTCCAAACCACCGAAGCATTCCTTTCTTAATCCTGGTCACAACATCATCTTGCAAACCACACTCTTCTCTTATCACACAATTTCTTGCCCTGTCATTCAGATTCAGCCCTAACATACTCCTTAACGACCGCATTTCTACTGCGTTCATTCTACTCTCGTGCTTCTTCTGCCACACCCGACTTTCACTACCATACGTTAAAATTGATGTGAACACGACCACACGAACCACTGGAGATCAGCAGGAAGTAGCCATATGCAGGCGTTCCCTTCAATCAAAGCGTAAGTCCTTGCGGTCCATACGTACAATTATAAATCATCATCTTTCATCATTACAGCCCTTCACAAGTGCACTGCTGAACGTAGGCCTCCCCCAAGTAACGCCACAAAGCACGGTCCTGAGCCACCTGCATCCATCGACTTCCTGCATGTCTTACCAGGTCGTCACTCCATCTAGTGGGGGGTCGCCCTACACTACGCCTACCGGTACGAGGCTGCCACTCGAGAACCTTTCTTCCCCATCGGTTATCGGTTCTTCGAGCTATATGGCCGGCCCATTGCCACTTCAGCTTACTAATCCGTTGGGCTATATCGGTCACTCTAGTTTTACTGCGGATATCCTCATTTCTGAGTCTATCACGCAGAGAAACTCCGAGCATAGCCCTCTCCATAGCTCGCTGAGCGACCTTGAGCGTCCTCATACGGCCAGCAGTGAAGGACCACGTCTCAGATCCGTAAGTCATCACTGGCAACACGCCCTGGTTGTACACTTTAGTTTTCAGAGATTGAGGTATACCTGACGAGAAGATGTGTCGTAATTTCCCGAACGCTGCCCAGCCGAGTTGAAGTGGCCCCACAGGAAGTGGACCTGGTCGAGCCCCGACGGTTCGACAAAAAATGAGATTGACTTCATTATGACGACCAGACGCCAACTGTTCAGTGATGTCTCAGTGATCGCAAGGGTGAAAACCGGCAGCGATCACCGAATGGTTAGAGGCACACTGAACCTAAACCTTAAGTTGGAGAGGTCTCGTCTAATGAAGTCAACGCTCCGTCCCCCTCGTGCTCTAATCCAGAATCCCGAAACCTTTCAACTCGAGTTACGTAACCGCTTTCAATGCCTAAAAGATTGCAATGCAGTGGACGATATGAATGACAAGCTCGTGGAAACTGTCCATGCGGTCGGAGCTAAGTTCTGCAAGACCCGCCGCAGAAGAACACAAAAACTTTCCGATCACACTCTTAATCTCATGGCTGTTAGACGGGAGATGAGGCTGCAATCGTCAACAGATTTGACAGCATACAAGCAACTGAACATACAGATCTCCAAATGCATACGGCGAGATTTACGCAACTTTAATACTGCTCGTATTAAAGAAGCGATCGAGCGGAACCAGGGCTCCAAAGTCTTTGACAGAGATCTGTCTGCCAGAAAGAGCCAACTGTCAAAGCTGAAGACTGAGTGTGGCAGCTTCGTTTCCGGGACACCTCAGATTTTGAGTGAGATTGAGAGGTTCTATGGGCAGCTGTACACATCATCGTTGGAGCCACACGCAAGTGTGAGTAACGATCCAAGAGCAAGTCTTACCCGACACTATTCCGATGATATCCCGGACGTCAGTCTGAGCGAGATTGGAATGGCTCTCCAGAACCTTAAAAACGGCAGGGCCCCAGGCGAGGATGGAATTACAGCGGAGCTTCTGAAAGCGGGTGGAACACCGGCACTTGAAGTCCTTCAGAAGCTCTTCAATTCCGTCCTCCATGGTGGCACTACTCCGGAGGTGTGGAGCAGAAGTGCAGTGGTCTTATTCTTTAAGAAAGGCGACAACGCTCTTTTGAAGAACTACAGACCGATTTCCCTTCCGAGCCGCGTCTACGTGCTGTTTTCGAGAGTCATTACGAATCGTCTCGCACGCAGACTCGACGACTTCCAGCCTCCCGATAAAGCCGGTTTCCGAAAGGTTACCCTGCGGCAGATTGTACAGAAGACCGAAGAGTACAATCTGCCACTTTGCCTGGCGTATGTGGACTATGAGAAAGCCTTTAATTCCGTCGAAATTTAGGCGGTGCTACAGTCCCTACAGCGGTGCCAAGTTGAATGTCGGTATATCGAAGTGCTGAAGTATTTATACAGTAGGGCTACGATGGCTATCCGAGTACAGAACCAGAGCTCGAAACCTATCCAACTGCAGAGGGGTGTAAGACAGGGTGATGTTATATCCCCAAAACTCTTCACCGCTGCATTGGAAGACGTTTTCAAGCTACTGGACTGGAAAGGATACGGTATTAACATCAATGGCGAGTACATCACTCACCTTCGATTTGCCAACGATGTAGTCCTTCCTATGGCAGAATCGCTGGAGGACCTTAGCACTATGCTCAATGACCTCAATAGTGTCTCCCAACGGATAGGTCTTAAGATGAACACGGACAAAACAAAGATCATGTTTAATGTCCATGTCACACCTATGCCGGTAGTTGTTGGGAGCACTATGCTCGAAGTTGTTGACGAGTACGTTTACCTGGGACAAATAGTCCGACTAGGTAAGTCAAACTTCGACCGAGAGGTCAATCGACGGATTCAACTCGGCTGGGCAATTATACATGAGTACAATAAAACTGTAATGATTTCTTATATGGGATTCCTATTTAGGATTTGATTGCTATTGTAGCGCTTCTGAAATGTTCGTGAAAACCCGGGTTAACTCTTTTAATGCAATCAATCGAAAGAGCATAGTATCATTTATGTCCAGAGTTGACCAGTGTAACAACGCTATTGTGCGCAGTTTGGCAAACAGTCTATCTGAGACTGCAATGTACAGACGCTGGGTGAAAATTGCTGGGTGACGATAAACTTTTGGAAATAATTCGTGTAAATATTGCAACATATTTATTCTTACTGTATTATATTACTAATTTGTCTTGTAAATATATTATTATCCGGGGTATTCATAGAGTATTCTCATCTGGTTGCGCTGTATAAAGATATAAAAGGAAATGAGAAACATACATAAATATATATTTAATATGCTAACATAAATAAATAAATAATACATAAATAAATAAAAGCCCAACCAGATGGAAGCCCTCGGCAGGGGAGAAGGGAAAGAAACCGGCGGGCGATGCGGGCGGTATCGAGGAGCACCGCCTTCTACATTTGAGCTCGGAGCGGTCCATCACGGAGTCCCAGCCGCCTCAGATGACCCGAAAGGCTGACTAGGATTAGCCCGTTTGCAGAAACGACTACAAGAATAATTTCGGTCAGCCGACCACCCCACATGTCGGTCACCTTGTGAGCCAGGTCCAGTCCAATTTTGATTGCTTATCTGTTTCGACTTTCACGAGGTTCTCGTCATACGGAATGATAAAAATATCCTCAAGGATGTTTTTATCAGCAATATCAGGCTTATTTGCAAGAATTGCCTGTCTCGAGAATGGCCCGGTTCCAGGAGAGCCTGGCGCGATCATTTTCGAGCACGGCTTCCGGAATATACTTGTAATACGACATTTTAGGGTCCACGAGACCGTATTTCAGAGCTAAATCCTGGTGAAGAGTTCTGACTACTAGGTTACGTACGGTCAGTGTAGAGAACCGGAGACCTGTTTTACTGGAATCGAGGCATTCCATCTGAGTCCTCAAGGGTGACAACGCATGTGCATTTTGATTTTTAATCACAGCACAGCATCCACTTACCATCAGATGGACTGTGTGCTCGTTTGTCACCCTTATCCTATATTAAAAAAGTCCTACGAAAATGCCGAATTTTTCAGTTTTTGTTGCGAAAGAAATCTGCCACGTCAAATTTATAAAAAGATTATATTAGATATGAGTTTTCATCACATTATTGCTATTAATTTATTTTTAAACACTACAATAATAACTTCCGTGTTGTTTAGGATTTGCTTACATCTCCTCATACAATATGCAGATCGGTCAAGCGACTGAGCCGAGTCTGTATCCGAGTAGTCGCCGTTGTAATGTATCTATCTATATGTGTTTGAAATTATTAGTTTATTGTATCAATTGTTGTGTGAGTTTCATAGTGACCCCCACAAAAATGACAGGCAGTTCTGGGTTCTGTATCGGGAAAAAACGTT